GGAGCATCCCACATCGGTGAGGCTAGGGAGATTCGACTTCCTTATAAGGAAGTGAGAGTCTTACTCCTACAAGTGACGCGTTTTAAAGCCGTGAGGGGTTGTGCTGACCAACCCAGAGCGGACAATATCACGTGGGCGGCTCCCTAGTGCAGTTACCGGTCCAACAATTGGTATCAGAGCTAGGGCCGCACCAATGTGGGGGGAATGTTGGGTCCGAAAAACCTAAGCGTTCCCTAGATCCGGTCAAATCYGCGAATCTTAAACCCAACGCTCCTGTAGCAATGCAGGAGCATCCCACATCGGTGAGGCTAGGGAGATTCGGCTTCCTTATAAGGAAGTGGGTGTCTTACTCCTACAAGTGACGCATTTTAAAGCCGTGAGGGGTTGTGCTGACCAACCCAGAGCGGACAATATCACGTGGGCGGCTCCCTAGTGCAGTTACCGGTCCAACAATATGAGAAGGCCCAAAGGTATGGTTTGCACAAATGATAATTATGTTTGCAAAGTTATGAAGTCTTTATATGGTTTGAAGCAGGCTTCACGATAGTGGTATTCAAAGTTATCTGAAGCATTAAAAGAAAGAGGATTTCATCATTCTCAGAATGATTACTCTTTGTTTCTCAAAAAGACAAAAGAATCGTTCACCATAGTGGCTGTATATGTTGATGATGTCATAGTGACCGGAGATAGTACTTCTGAAATAGAAGAGTTGAAGAAGTTTTTGCATAAAACTTTTCAAATCAAAGACGTGGGTCTTCTTAATTACTTTTTGGGATTGGGGTTCTTGCGAAGTAATCAAGGAATTTTTCTAACTCAAAAGAAATATCTTATTGAGTTACTTGATGAGTATGGTATCACAACTAATGAAAAAGTGACAACTCCGTTACCTTGTAATTTGAAGCTTATGCCAGACATGCCTAATCTTTTAGAAGATCAGAGCAAATATAGACAATTGGTGGGGAAACTCAATTTTTTTGGTTCATACTCATTACTCGGCATGATTTGGCGTTTAGTGTTGAGTTCCTCAGTCAGTTTAATCAAAATCCCTCGAAAGGTCATTGGGATGCTGCTTTACATGTTCTGAAGTATTTGTTAAGTGTTTGGTTCTTTTGGGTTGTTTTTCAATGACAAGTCAGATTTTTCACTTTCTGCTTAATGTGATTCGAATTGGGCATCTTGTTCTTTTTCCAAAAGGTCGGTAAGTGGTTACTTTGTTTTTTTTTGTGTGGGGGAGTCCTATATCATGGAAGTCAAAGAAACAAGTAACAGTTTCGTTATCTTCAGCTGAGGCTGAATTTAGATCTATGAGAAGATTACAACTGAACTTACATGGTTGAGCAGACTTTTGGCAGATTTAAGAGTGGAGAACATTACTCCAATTGCTCTGAAGTGTGATAATCTTGCGAGCATACATATAGCAAACAATCCAATTTTTTTACGAAAGAACAAAACACATTGAACTGATTGTTATTATGTAAGAGAACAACTACAAGGAGGAGTTATTGTTGTGGAGTTTACGCCAATAAAGTCACAACTTGCAAATGTGTTTACTAAATCTTTGCCTGGGCCTAAACATTCTGATGTTATTTGCAAGTTGGGATTAGTTAGTTAATCGCTAGCTTGAAGGAGGGTGTTAGAGTTTGTTATTATTTTATGTTTGTTTGTTATCTTTGTTAGTTTAATTGTTAGTATGTTTGTCTTAGTCATGTATATATAGACCTTTTCTCTTTTCTTTTCAATACACAAAAAATTCCCAATCTCTCTCTACTTTCTCTACTTCCAATTTCTCTCTACTCTCTACTCTCGTTTATCAGTTTTGTTAGTTAATTACTAGGATCTTGTTTTCAGTTTCTCAACTTTACAAATTAGCATATGGATTTGATAAATCTTGGTAGTTTGTTGTTTGAATTCGACCAAATAAGAGTTGTGTACCCAAGTGTTCAATCAAATAAAAAGGTTTATGGTACATAAAAAACTAAATTAGCCCTCCTAAATGGTTAATTTTATGATTTTTCTCCTCACCTCAATTATATGTCACAATATTATGGAGATCAATCCATCTAACTTTAAATTAGATAAAAGCATAGATAGATAGATAATATGCAGACATATATAATATATGAAGAACTAGGATAATAAGTCAATCTAAAACATGATCAGACCATAACCAATAAAATGAAAAATATTAGAATTGAATATTGAACCAACATGAACCGGCACTACAAGAAAAAAGACTTTTAGAGAAGGAATTTTCAGAGAAGCTTTAAAAAGTGTATCTAAAGATATGTTATAGAGAATGATTTAAATGACAAAAATGAGAAGTGTAACTAAAGGTTGGATGATGTTTAGGGAAGGATTTACATACTAATTATACGATTTAGGGGGTGTTTGGGATTGCTTATTTAAAACAACTTATGTTTTTTTTGTAAAAGTACTTATTAACTTATGTGATATCAAACTGCAGTTAAATAAACAGGGTTAAAATTGTAAACTGGTAATAAACAATTTTTCATAAGTCAGAAAGGATTAACTTATTAAAAACAACTTATTACCGGTTTGGCACCGTTATAAACAGTTTTTTTTATCCAAACACCAGAAAATGGCTTATCACCAGTGTCAGACTGAAATAAGTTAAAAAACAGCTTTTATAAGCAATCCCAAACACCCCCTTAGCATATGTCGGTAAAAGTTTTTGAGAAGTTTTTTACTAAAAAACCTATCTAAAAAGTTGCATTATGTTCTAGTGAGACCTTGTTAAACTTATCTAAAGATAAAAGAAATTAAATTAACTAAAAAATTCAGTTACCCATTTTTATCTAAAAAATTTATTTCAAAAATTAACTCAAAATTATATAAAAATATATAGTGTTAGATATAAAAATTAGTGATGAACTGCAGACGAGCCCTAGCTGAAATCAGTCATCGTTGCTTTGCTCTCAAGAGAAATCGGCCATCGTTGTTGTGCTCTGCTTTGCTCGCGAATCTTTCGCTCGTCAATGGTCAATGGTGAGCTTTCAGGTTTTGATCTATCTATCGATCTATATCTATCCATCTATATGGTATTTGTATGTGATTTGTAAGTCCTGCTGAAATCATCAGTCCTGTTGAAATTATATGACCATCGGTATCGTCATCTCCATCGGTGTATCTGTCCTCGCTGCTGCTTGATTCGAATAATTTTTCTTTGATGTTCTTAGGTTTTGATCTTCGATTTGATATGGTTACTTTTGTGTAATTGATGATCTAGATCTTTTTTTTGATGTTTTGCAGGGGAATTTACATTACATTTAATTAGGATTGATCAAAAATGGATGTTTAAAGCCCTAACATTACCTCCAAAAATCTCATCAGGTTCTTTTTTCCACTCCTACGGTTTAGTTGTTGTATTGTTTTGATATGATCATTATGTGTATGTGTATGTGTATGCTTGTCTCATTATGTGGTACTTGGGCTATTGATCTTTTATCTGGCCTAATGTTGTACCATTATGAGACATTTTTCTTCTGTATGTTACCTTTCTTGTTATTCATCTTTATGTGTTTTCTTTGACCGTCTTTCCCTTCATATTCTTATGACTTTATGCTTACTTTGTGGTCTGTCATATAAGCTACTTCCTTTTGTTAAATTTTCGAGGCTGAGGTTCTCTAATTGCGTCCTGTTCTGTGTTTGGCCATCCTATGTTTATTGCCTTCACAGTTCAGACCTCTACTCCTGGTACCTGATTGAATTATCAAAATATAAAAGTAGCCAGAAATAGGTTTTTGTGCCATTTTCTGGCAGTGTAGTTGAATTTGAAGTCAATTTGGATTGAACATTGAGAAATTTGAGCTTATCTTTGAATATTAAATGATGGCATTGATCAATGTTATGGCACTTATATGGTATTGAGCCTAGTTCCAAGAGTAATATGTTTAGTACAGGCTCCATCACAATTCTGTTGGAGCACCTATGGTATAATATATATACAAATGAATCACAAAGCTCCAACCACCTTCAATAATTTTACCTACACTATTACATGCCTCCCATCATAAACCAAAACATATACATACAGAAATTCCCATCTTGTACTAAGAATAACAACAATAATGAAAGAAAATAAAACCAATAACTTTAACTAAAGACATAAGATTGAACATCTGATGTTGATCAACTTTGTAATGCTTTATAACCTGTATGAAATGTTTGCTAAGACAAATGGAAGGAAACRAAAGTTGAGTTTCTTCACATACTGYTTCTCCTGTGCAGCCAGTKGGATACACCSGAYATGRTGTATTGATTGGGGAGGTTCTATTTGGTTTCTGGGTTTTGAAGATCACTCAATTTGGGAATTGGGTTTCAGACTCACTTTCTTGTTTCTGATGAATGTTGATATTTACTATAATTTGGTCAAAAATTTTCTTTGGGTTTTGAAGATTAATCGATTTGGGAATTAGGTTTCAGATGTGGGCTTTAAATTTCTCTCTCATTTTCAGCTTTCTGATGAAATTTCACTGTGTTTTCCTTTGTATTTTTTTGGTTTCTTCCCAGAATATAAATCAATTTGGGATCTTGATTTCAATTTTCTGAACTTATGTGTGTTCTTCATTCTCTCTTATTTCTGGGTATCAAATTTGTAGTTATTCTTTAGGTTGTTATTTCTTCATTGAAGTTCCTGTTTTAGTTTCCTAGTTTTTCAGTTCCTGTTATTTCTGCATTGAGGTTCCTGTTATTTCCTAGTTTGTTGCAATGTGTTATGATMTGGTTTTCTATTTGGGTTTACCTCCAAAATTCACAACTAAATTTAGGTCCACAACCATTTTCACAACTAAATTTAGTTTTTACCTCCAAAATTCACAGTAATTCTCACATCGATTTGGGTTTTTAACAGGATCAATGCACTGGATACGGTGGTCAAGAAAATCTTGTGTCAAAGTGATGCAGCAGAGTTTCTTGTTGCTTTTGCTGGAATTCAAGAAACTGTACACCAGTTTTCGAAAGACTATAAATTGAGGAAAGGCCCAGTTTCTATATCATTGAGTTCAAGTTCAGAGATTGTGGGGGTTGATAGCATCCATTCAATAAGTAAGTTCCTTTGAAAGTAGTTACTCAGTAATACACAAATATAACTACTCAAATGAGCAATTTAATAGCATATGGAATCTTGTAGGACCTTTTAACAGTAAAAAACAATGTCTCATAACACAACCCAACTATGGCACGTGAGAAATTTACATAAAAAAATATATACACCATGAGTGCAAGGCAAATTCATTCAACCATGTAATTAACTGAGCATTCACAAAATTTCTCGCAAATTCTAATAAATATTATCCATGTTCTTCAATAGTAAAGTCAAACAGAAACTCACAAATTCCATAATCAATCGATGTCGTTATGCACATTGAGTTGCTACTACTATCCAAAACTAAAATTCCATAATCAAGCTAACTACACCGAGATCCCAAAATTCCTACTGAGAGTCTATATTGTTCATAAAGAAACTGTTGTGCCATCTTCGCATTCTGCAACTTGTATAAATGAGAAACCCGCTTAAGTGCGATCAGATTTCAATCTATGTGTAATGATTTAAATGCCAATCAAATATAAAAAAAACTAAGAAAACAACAACAAAAAACTTATTCAATAGCAGTAAAAACAACAACAGAAACTCAAACATTTAAAATGCTCAATGACAACATTATATAAAAGAAATGACAACAAAGAACTCTATAGAAACAACAAAACACTACACTTGCAGTAAGAAACTGTACCTTTATTATTACCAAGATTTTGTATAAATTCCTTACACATACATATATGTAACCAAGTTAAGCAACCTCATATCACGAGACCAATTATCTTCTCATAATATGTTCCGACCCTATAAAATAGAGAATAAGTTATTAACGTAAATGTTTATTCAAAAGTACTAGGAGGTCTCAGATTCAAATCCAAGGAGGAATAAAATCCCCTTGTGGCCATGGAGGTTCAAATGCGGTGACTCCGGGCTATCCACTTCGCTGCCAACTATTCAATTTCATATGACAAAAACTATTTTGCATGTGTACTTTTTACAGGGCAGCTGGGAAAGAAGTTGAGCCTATTTTATCTAACGGTTAGAATTGTGGCATTTGATTTATTTTCTTTACACTTAGATACTAATTTCTTTAAACTTTTGTTAGAGTTGAACAACAAGACTATACGGCTCACAAGGTTTTTATATATTTCTTTTCCTTAACACTTTGTTTTTATATATTTCTTTTCCTGTCTACAAAGTGATCCATTGACTTAATACATGCTAATATGTTATTTTTTCTGTAAACATTTACGTTCTGCAGTCCAAATTAGAAGCAGATCTAGCTAGAAGAGCAGAACACTACTTTTCTGATAATATGCGGGTTATTAAAGGTTTTACGTTCTCCCATACTAATCACGATCACAGAGCTGCCGATGCACACACTATCTTACATACTATAACCATCACAATTGGATTGTTGATCATCCATCAAAGTAGTAAAACAGTCCAATTCTTACATACTATTGAAATGTTCTGATGGCTTATTGACTTGTTGCAGATAAAGAGGGAAATTGTCACGGTTACCGATTCACATAAAATTATTGCATTATGGCTAACACCTTTGCAGACACCTTGCAATCAGACGAGGCTTCATCATCTGTGCAAAGTAACAAACGTGGTTCTACTCGGGCAGACTATAAAAAAGTTAGAAAAGAGATGGCGGGTCATAGGTAGAGTATCGAGTGTTGCGAGGAGTTTAGGGCGGATGTTAGAAAATGGATTTATAGATTGATTGAATGTTGGGGATTGTTTTGAGAACTTACTTTTTTTATATTATAAATTTATATCAATTTATTGCTTTGAGATTTTTATGTTGTTTTTGTTGATTAATATAATATATAATTATATACAAATATAGATCTTAAATATGGATGAAAAATAATAATAATATGCCCTCTAGAGAAGGAATTGATCTTTTAAAAGTGTATCTAGAGATAAGATTTAGAGAAGATTTTGATTATTTGTATCTAAAGATAATCTTTTGAAAAGGTCTGTTGTAACACCCCCAAACACCACATTTGCATATAACACATATTTTATTTCATAGAAATATAATTTACATCATAAGGTCCCACTAGTACAAGGATTACTATATGTACAAAATCTATATATAAAAATTTCCAAAAACAAATCTTGTACTATTACATGTATCTTCAAAAGCAGACAACAGRTTAGGAAAATAATCACATTTTCCCTTTCCCTTTAATATTCTCGGACCCCACTATTCCTGTATTGCATAATTTAAAACAGAAAATGAGGGTTAGACCAGATGGGTCTAGTGAGTAAATCCCTTCTTTGCAAATGCAGGGTGATGAACACCAAAATAATGTAATTCTGCTTAGAAAATTCTGCTTAGAAAATTCTGCAGTACAAAGAAATGATACAATTCACAATATCATGCAAAATAGAATACACCCAAGAACCTCAGTTCTATAAAATATCTCCGATTAGAGATTCAACGTTCCCAATATGAAACAAATATTGTAACCAAATTTTTTTGAATTAATAGACCATTCCTTTAAAAATATTAACAGAAAAGATTTAAGGCAATACTTGTCTGATATGACAAACCATTTTCCCCTTCTCAATAACATCTAAATTATTATTAAATAGAAATAATATCTTTAATTCATCAGGTCACAAAGAAATGACGACTAAAAGTTATTAGATCCAATTAGTAATAATAAGAGTTATAATATTATCCACATATGACAATGTCACCCTTATTCCAAGTACACCTCTTCTTGATATGTCACCCTTATTCCTCCATCAAAATAGGGCTTCTTATCAGAACAGACAAAAGTCACCACGTCTGGGGGAACTATTACTTAAAACAAGTTTCATACCAAAACAAACTTACGTCACCACGCTTGGTAGAAACATTTCCCAAAAATCCAGTTCCAAACCAAAACAGACTTACGTCACCACGCTTGGTAGGAAGGTTTCCCAAAATATATAGTTTCATACCAAAACAGACTTACGTCACCACGCTTGGTAGAAACATTTCCCAAAAATCCAGTTCCAAACCAAAACAGACTTACGTCACCACGCTTGGTAGGAACATATCTTTTTATTTAGAAAGATATAAAATACCCATTTTATAATCTATAATTAAACCCAATAATAGATATTTTAAACTATATAACAAGTCCAAAATATAAAACTCATGAAAAATTCAAATAAAAAGTTATCCGGACAAGTTATTCGGATATAAAGTCCGGACAACACTTGTCCCTTTTGTCCGATTTACTAATCCGAACAACTCATCGCCCAAGACTTGTCCGATTAAACACTTGAAATTATTCCAACACTCTTGCCCGGATAACAAATCCGGACAATACACCGTCCAAAGCTTAACCGATTTAACACTTAGAGATATTCCAATTTCTATCTGAATAAGAGTCCGGACAATACATCGCCCAAAACTTGACCGATTTAAAACTAAACCGCTTAACGCTTGGTCGGTTTAAGGCTTAATCGCCTAACCCTTGTCCGATTTAAACTTAATCCGGTCAGTCTTTGTTCGGATAAAAACCCTTAAACAAATACATGATTTCTTTCCAATAATAATCAACATTCAAATAAAACCAGTAACAAATTTTATGTAAAAAGGTTTAGAAATCACTCACCTTATGAGAATTTGCAGTTTTTTGAAGGAGATTGCAAACTTCTTTTGAATATCCGGACAACTCTTCTCAAATCCCTCTTTAGATTTCAAAAATGGCAAGAGAATGAAATGAAAGTAAAACTCTCCCTTTTATACCTTTCCAAAACAGGAAAGGTCGGCCTCCAGGCCCTTATCCACATGCATGCATGTACACATAATATTTCTTACATACATACACATATAAACTTATGCATGCATCTCATGCATACACAATCCACATATATATTTTATACATATATATATGTATATATGTATATATATATATATATATCTACATATTATGCACATATCCCTATGCATAAAAATACACATACTCACATATTAAATTTACGTAAGTATGTATCCACATAAACAGTTAATTCACATAACAAATACCTAGGGTAATGATCAGAATCCGGTTATCACATTTGTAGAGTGTAACTAAAGGACATCTTTAGAGAAGGTTTAGGTAAAATATCACTAAAGCCAATATCTTTACAGAAGCTTTTTTTGTAAACCTTCTCTGAAAGCACCTTTTAGAGACGTTTGTAAACTGTCATCAATACTTGAAAAGTGTCACTAATAAGTACATTTAGAGAAGCTTTTATAAAAAAGTTAACTAACCTTTAGAGATGTTTTGAAGTGTATCTAAATCCCTAAAATAGTCTCTAAAAGCTACCAAAAACATACCCTCCGAAAAACGCCCCTAAAACCTTTACCTACCCTTACATAGAAAAGCTTTTTGACGGAAATGAAAAAGTTCTCTAATGCCTTTAGAGAAGCTTTTAAGAATTTTAAGTACAAAACAGAACCTTCTCTAAAGGTTATTTTTCTTGTAGTGCGGTTTGGTGAACCACGTCCACTTGATGCGATCTAAGTTACATGCAACACCAATTTACATACTCAAGTAACACATATTAAGATACATATAGATTAATTCATCAAAGCAACACCTACTCGATCTGATTAGAAATATGAACGTATTATTTATCATGAATATTATAATATATTCATTATAAATGTGTATGATGAATATTTACCTTAAAAGAGTGACATGTAACACACTATAAATAGTCATGGGTTCTTAACAAAAAAACAAATTTTCAACCAAACTTTATAATATAGTATAGATGGGTTGGGTTCACGTGAGACCCGTAAGACCAATTTATGTTCATTGATCAAACTTTATGAGCTAATGACCTAATGATCTAAAGTTGTACGATGACAATTTTGTGATTATTGAGAAGTCTCGTGGTAATTTTGTGATTATGAATGTTCA